CCAGCCTAGATTGGTATATGCTACCGTAGAAAATTTTTTTTTGAATTAAAGACTGTTTCTAAATAGCTCGGTATATAAAGTGTTAATATATACAGTAAAATTTGACGCCTGGGGGCTGTTTCAATGAATTTGAGCCCTCCTATCATATTGGGAGGGGAGGAGGCTGTCTCTTATAATACAGATGATTTCATTTTCACTTCGACGAGCTGGTTTTCCTCTTTTCATTTGCTCCATGTTTTTGAGTATGCAATTATCCATTATTCTTTATGAACGAACGCTATAATAAAACTGTCGTCGTTTAACCGACTGACGCACCATGCAGACAGCGTGTTCGTCGAAGGGGTTCCATGGTACAGAGTCCGGATAGTGTCCCAATACTTTGCTCTTGTATGCTCGGTCCAAAGGCGTGCATTGTAGAGAGTCTCCTGAAACAGAAATATATAATTTTTAGTATATTATTCGAGGGTGATGGCATGATAGATTCAATTTTTTTGGGTATTTTACTTGGGTTACTTTCATAATTACACTAGCGCACATGTTCGGTGTACCTGAGTAGCCTGAGAATTAATTAAGGGATTCTCACCTAGCGATAGCCAACTGAATGCAGTTGTTAAACTATAATTGAAATATTAATGAAAATGAACTCTTGCTGTCATTCACGTGTCGTTCGGTGATTTCTGAAACTGGGACTTGGTAGCGTGACAATTATAATTGCAAACAACGTGCTTCGTGAACGATGGACTGTAATGCTTGTTAACGATAAGTGGCGACCGTGACCTTTTGGCCAAATACTTGTATACACGTTCCGTGTTACTTAAAATTCTGCCTCTTTAAGCCCGGCGTCGTGCCTTATCTGGAGATTAAACGAGATAGAGTTTATAAACGTTTCCTAAACGAATCCTAAGAAGAATAAAGAAGAATAAAATTTCTCTGGGCAGAGATTTCGAAATTTAAAGATCCAAAGCTTAAGGGAAATCGGTTGTTCCTTCGCTGTAATTGAATTAAAGAAATTCAAGTGGGTCAATTGGCCGAGGGAAAAAATACACGAGGGTCTCGAGTGGGGCGCAAGAAAAAAAAGAAAAAAATTCCCAAGTTTGAGAGGAAGTGTTCTCCAAGCAGACACGTGTAAGTGTTCACAACAGTTTGCACATTGTTCTCGGTGCGGTCCAAGTGCATCACGGGACCTGCAGCACTCCTACGAGGAGAAGACCCGGCTTCCTTCTGCCTGGGAAAAATTAGAATCTCTCCACGGCAACGTGGGCAACTTGTTATTGAACGTGGTATATATCCCCGAGCGGCTCGACCTGAATGAGAGTGTTGAAGTCTTGGCGACGTTCCAGCTGCTTCGCCCACGATGAACACAAGAGCACCCTTGTACGGGGTTAATCGTTTATGATCGACCAACCACCCAAGAAGACGAAACGTACACGATGCGGGCTCGTAAAGCAAGCCTCGCACGGTCGCGCGAGAGCCTTAAAAAAAGCGACAACATTTTTTAACAGTCACAGTCACGGTATCCCATTTATTAAAACAAAAACTAGCTGCCAGTAGTTATTCAGACCAAATTTTGAAACTTTGTGCTTTTATGTAATTTTGAACGCCGAATTCAATGGCGTAAAGCAGAATTGTTTGGATTTTTCGATTGGACTTTTTCTTTGAACAATGCAAAAATGAGGTCAAATTTTGAAACTTTATATATTTTTATGTAATTGTGAACGCTGAATTCAATCATGTGAAGAAAGAATGTTTTAGCCATTTTTGAAAACAAAATTTCAGATTTTTCGATCCCACTTTCTTTTCAAAAATGCAAAACCATTGTTTTTAACATTTGCGATGGTGATTCTGCTAAAAGAGATAGCGAGAGAGAAAGAAAGCAAGAAGGAAGAATTTCATTCTGAGCCTCTGCTAGTGTCCGTTGGGACTGGCTTATACAGGGTGTCCCAAAACTCGGGGAGGAGCCGGAAATGGGGGGTA